TCTAGGTAATTATTACTCGAGGAACTATTCATTGAAGAACAATGCTAGCTCTGCTAATACAATTATGCAACCTCCTCAACAACAAGTATAGTAGGTGACTGTCCTACAACCCGGCCAGATCATCGGTCAGGTTGACAACTAAGGACGGATTATCCTGGTTTATCAACAACCTCGTACTGCTAATGCAGTGTATGCTCCGGTATCGTACCTACCACCTTAGTAAGGACCTCCTTCTGACGATCCAGTTGCTAAGTACAATATATTGTTTACGAACGCTTTGTTTCAATAGGCTCAAGAATATAGGGTACACACAGTCTCTACCGAGGCACTTCGTGCTAGTGACGACGACGTCTCTCGATAGATAGTCGATTTAGGCACTAGTACCTATATAACTCTATACAAATCTGTCTTTATTAATTTCCGTTAATGTGTATTACCTGTATTAATAGCGACAGGTGATGTTTTCTACACAGAAGGATATAGAGATGTTATTCTTCGAATGACAAATGAACAATCAGATGATCTTATTGGCTCGCTTACCCTTCATAAGGTATAGCTTGCTCCAGATCTTAAAGCTAGCTTAATCTCAATATCCGCTCTCGACAAAGAAGATATTGGTATATGGGTTAAGAACGGCCTAATGACGTTTAAGTTATAGGATCAATATACGTCCTCGGAATCAGTTGTCGGTTTTGCCACCTACGAAGGAGAGTACTACTAGCTAAACTGCTCTGGTATCAATAAGGTTGATGCTATGCTAGATTCCAATCTAGTCTCGGGTTCCCCCTAATTCCGTCTTTGCTATAAAGAAAGGTTCTTCTCCTACGCCTATCTCAGTTAATCTAGCTTACCGTCGAGCTTATCACGCTAGCGAGAATAGGGTACGGAAGATGGAAGTTTATAGTGATGGTATCAGATTAAAGAAAGGTGCCGGTGTCACCTTTCTATACACCCTATGTATTAAAGGTAAGGGTTATGCCCTCCCCTTCGGTAAAGAGAGATCGATTAGATTAAAACCTAGTGATCTTATTTATCTTGACGTATAGGGACCAATCTCAATTGCTTCGCACGGTGGAGAGAGATATTTTATTACCTTTACTGACGATGCTAGCCGGTTTATATGGCTATTTCTTCTTCAATCTAGATCGTAGGTTACTGAAACCTATATTCAACTGGAGAATTATTTAAAAACCCAGTTCGGGTTCACGATTAAGAAGGTGCATAGTGACGATGTAATAGAGCATAAACCACTAGCCACCTATCTTGCTTCGAAGGGTACAATTTGAGACCCTACCCCTCCCTATACTAAGTAACTGAATGGTGTCGCCGAGATTAAAAATCGTTATCTAGTTGAACCCCTTGTTGCGGTTATAGCGGAGTACCAACTCCCGAAATACCTTTAGGGTTATTTGCTTGGTGGAATTAACTATACGATGAATCGTTTATACGCTTCAAAAATCGAGATGTTACCTTACGAAGCTCTGTATAGTAGGAAACCTGACCTATCTAACCTTCGTGCTCTCGGTTGTCAATGTTGGTTCTTAATTCTAAAGGAAAAGCGTCCTATAAAGCTTGATCTATACATAGAAGAAGCTAGGTTGATCGCTTACGATGAAGGTGATAACTATGTGTTGTACAATATACGTACTAAAAAGATTGAGCGTTCTCGCAATGTCATTTTCAATGAGAACCCCTTACCAGTAACACTTCTAGATCCTGAGTACGATCTTAATTTCGACTCGGTGGATGAACAACCAGCTTCTCAATCACCTGAACGACACGTTCCAATTGACTTCCTTTACGACGAAGATGATTGTCGTGAGATACGTCAATATCTTGACAATCTATACAATGCACGGAGTGACTCTCGTTCTCCGCCCCCTCCCTCTGTTGAGGATGATATTGATGACATAGTTCTTGCTCCGGCAAACCCTCTACTCGATCCTTCGAACCCTTTAATTCTGGAATACCGTGTTCCAGAAATTGACCGTGTTCCAGAAATTGAAAGTGTTTCACTTCCAATGATCGACGTTCCCCTCCCCGATCCCGATACCTTCGATTTACCCGGCGACGATAATAAAATGGCGGGTAGTTTAGGCAGGTTTACGGAGGTACAACGGGAGGATGATAGTCCCCACTTTGACGTAGGTGGGGCAGGGGCTCTCGTGGAGCCACAACCAGCTTCCCGGTAGGTTGTTAACTAGGAATTACCAATTGATTTTTCCTATCTGGACCCAATTCCAGATAATTTACCCGATACTGACTACGTCCCGTCTACTCAGCATCTATCGGATCCTAGGTCAGTACGTCGATCGATAAGGCCTAAAAAGCCTAGCTAGGCATACATTGACAGCTTGGCTAGCCGATCTTTCTTTAATAGCAACGTCCTCCAGCTTCTAGCTGATACCCCAGAGGTACTGATCAATCTTTTTTCTGCAGCTACTTCTAAAGAGCTACAGTATATATCTTCCAAATTGACAGCCAATAACATTGGTTTCGAACCTAATGGCTGGAAAGAAGCAATGGCCTGTATCGAGAAAGACAAATAGTTAGATGCTGCTTATAAAGAACTTGCTCGACAGATCAAAAACGGCACATGGCGTCGAATCCCTCGATCATCTAGGAATACGAAGGGCCGAAAGCCTCTCTCCTTACGATAGGTATTCAAAATCAAGTATGATGGCACGTACAAAGCAAGACTTGTTGCTCGTGGATTTCGTCAGATCAAGGATCTAGACTTTTATGAAGTCTATACTGTCGTCGCTAAGCCGATGTCTTTCAAAATCTTCGTAGCCATTGCGGCTGCTAAAGGCTGGCCAATTCATTATGTCGACATCGTAACGGCCTTTCTTTATGCCGAACTCAAAGAACTAATTGAAATTAAGCTTCCTGAAGGTCAAAGAGAGCTGTATCCCGACGACATTGGTCTCCTTATGAAGACGATTTATGGGTTAAAACAAAGTCCCAGAGAGTGGTATAGACTGCTACACGATGTCTTGATCTCTATGGGATTCACCCGTACCCAGTCAGATCATTCAATCTTCATTAAGTGTGCCTCTGGGAAGGCTCCGTTATTCATTATGATCTATGTCGATGATCTGCTTGTTCTGTCACCCTCTGAGTAAGAAATTCAACGGTTCAAGATCGTAATCGCTAAGCACTTTGATACTTCTGACAAAAGTGTCCTTAAACGATACCTTGCCATCAATGTCTACTACAATAAAGGGGTGATTTACCTCTCTCAGTACGACTACGTTGACAAAATCCTTACTCGCTTCGGTCTTAAAAACTGCAAGGCAGTTGCTACTCCAATAGATGAGAAGTAACCTTTGATAGTATTTGACGGCACCGCTTCAAAAGCAGAGATCAAAGAGTTTCAAACCAAAATCGGAACACTGATCTGGTTAATGGTTTCGACCCGTCCTGACATCTCGTTTGTCGTCATTAAATTGGCGAAGCATGCCAAGAATCCAGGCCCATTACACTTCCAGGCATTGAAGCGAGTGTTTCGTTACCTTGCTGGCACGAAGTATCTGTCTATTTCGTTTCATAGAAATGATGCTTTATATAGGTACTGCGATGCAGATTGGGCTGGCCCCCATAGTGAAAAAGGCCTCTCTACGTCTGGCTTCATTTTTATGATGGCCGGTGGAGCAATTTCGTGGACTTCAAAGAAGCAATCTTGTGTTGCTCTGTCTACTACCGAGTCCGAGTACATTGCTGAAGCGCTTGCTACGCAGGAAGCTATTTGGCTCACTCAATTATTGACGGAGATTGGGATTGCTGGGTTTCTACAAAAGCCGATTTGCATTTATGCCGATAACAACGGAGCCATTGCTTTAGCTTCAAATCCAGAGTTTCATGTCAATACTAAGCACATTGCCATTAGGTATCATCGCCTACGAGAAGAAGTGGCAGCTGGTTCAGTGAAATTCGTCAAGATTCCCACTGCCGACATGGCAGCAGATGGATTGACAAAGCCCCTTGGAAAGATCATGTTCCGGAGATGGATCTTGCAGATGGGTCTAGTGCCCTATAAAACTGCATGATTTCTGGTTTACATACAAAAAATGGGGGGTTATTTCAAAGTCAAAACCTGGTTTTTTACACTGGAGGATTGAGTTGTTTAAACTATGTTGTGACGACTATTGCACTAGTCGTGGGGGGTGTTGGAAGGTCACGTGACCACCACTGTTTGCTCCCAGTACATTAGTCTTAGCATCTGTAGATAGCTTCTTCTCTTTCTCTCTCTCTAGCGCAATACAGTGATTTTACCAGCGTACTTACTAGTCCCTGGCCTTCTCTGTAACAATAATATATATTTAAAAAGGTCATATCGCTTAGGATGTTTAGTATATTTTATATTTAGAGGATATTGGGTAGTATACTATATAGACTGCGACATCGCCCGTCCATGGGCACTAGAAAGTGTCCACGGCCCGTGGGCCTTTTGAAATTCGACGCCCATCGCCCATCCTTATGCAAAAATAATGCAAAAATTACCCTATTCGGCAATTTTATGTACATAACTAGTTCTTGGCAGTACCCACCGTGCCAAGAGTGCCCGCATATGTCTTGGCAACGCTAAAAATGTCTCCACAAAAACGGGCGTTGTCGCAGTCTAATACTATATCTATAAAATTGAGGATTGCGGATATTAGGTGACCTACCATGTCCGCAAGTTGCGGAGAGGATATACGGATATCCATGGATATTGAGGATGTTACCGCAGCCTAGGCCCTAGTAGATCAAATTCAGGGATTGGGCAATAGAGAGCCTTAATAGCAACTATATGGTGGGTGATATTCTCTATAGCCATGATTAGGCACCAGCCGGAAGAACTAATATCCCAATAAATGGAAATCCAAATTCTATCATCCAATGTTTTCCCTATAGGTATATTTGTTCACCCATTACTCTGTACCTTGTACTCAATCTCTCAAATCTCCTGTCTCCCCCTCTGGGTACTTGCGCCATAGTCAATCTGCTCAGGAAGCACTATGATCCATTCCGAGGCCATCTCCGGCCCTATTACCGAGATCTCTGCTATTCCCAACAGACTGAGATTAGAAGAAAACCTGGAAGTCAATGGTATGGAGAAAGTGACTGAGACCAGTAATACATACTCCCCAACAGATCAAAATGAGCAGAATGATGCTGAATCAACGACCAAAAAGCCAAAGTCGCTTTCCTTCAAGCTCGCGTTCATAGGGCTCGCAGCGACTCTTTTCGTGTTCCAGTTGGATGCCACATGCCTAAGCATTGCCCTTCCAGTGAGCCATTGCGTCTATTCCCATCCGCGTACTATCCAAATACTCATCCCTATCACTAGTCCATTGCTGGTGATCTAAAGGCCTCGAGTCTAGAGTCATTCTGGGCAAACCTGGCCTATACTCTTTGTGGTCTAGTAATGCAACCGGTTTGGGCCAGTATCTCCAACGAGTTCGGTCGCAAACCCCCTCTTTATATATCCATTGGATTGTTCTTCATCGGTTCCATCGTCTTCGCTACGGCGCAAAATATGGGCACCATAATTGTTGGGCGAGTCCTCCAGGGTCTCGGTGGCGGCGGGATCGATGTCTTAGTGCAGGTGATTCTCGCAGATATGACAACACTAGAGGAACGCTCGACATATCTAGGCTTAATGGCCATTCCTTGAGCCGTGGGTAATATCATGGGTCCTACCGTTGGGGCGCTATTTTCCACGTATGCCTCCTGGAGGTGGATTGGATGGATCAACCTCCCATGGCTCGGGATTGGGACACCTTTGGTTATCATCTTCCTCAAACTTCGGCCTATTCCGCTCGATTCCACGCTCGTTGGAAATTTAAAGCGTCTCGACTGGATTGGAATAGCGCTATTTATCATCGGAATCTCGATTTTAGTTATTCCGATGAGTTGGGCGGGCTCCTTATATCCATGGCCCTCCTGGCAGACTCTCCTTCCACTATTCTTAGGAGTGGCGGCACTCGTCACTTTTGGATTCTACGAGGGAAAGCCTACCGATCCTATCGTTCCTCATCGTATTTTCCACTCGAAGACCGGAAACGTGACTTTACTAGGAGGCTTCCTCCACGGCACAGTGTTAGTCTCCCTCCTACAATACTTGCCCTTACTCTACCAAGCTGTAGAGCTCCAAAGCGCAATATCATCCGCCGTATACCTATTGCCTACCTCGATTATCAGCGTCTTAGTAGCAGCCGTCTCAATGATGCTAGTACCATTGTTCGGAGGTTATGTGTGGCTTTTACGATTTTCGTGGGTTATCCTTACGCTAGGATCCGGCTTACTAGCCCTCTTCGAAGTAGGGTCTTCAGCATCTGTATGTTACGGGCTTCCTATTCTCTGGGGTCAGGGAGTTGCGCTATTACGCCTTAATATCCTTCCGATGCAAGCGAGCGTTAAGAATGTTGATGACACAGGCTTAGCTATTGGGCAGTTTTTAACTATTCGCATGTTTGGTGGTCTTGTCGGTCTCACTATTTCTTCGTCAATTTTCAACAATGTTTTCTCCAGGACTATCACTGATACTACACCTACACTTCAGCTGACAGGAGCATTGGCGCCTCTGAAAGATGCTTCCAATGCTGTGAGCTTCATTGACTCTTTGGGATCGCTACATGTTCCTATATCAACGCTGGGCCAGGTATTAGGTGTCTATCTGAAGTGCTTCCACACGATATTCTATGTGATGACAGGCCTGAGTGCACTGGGTTTGGTGAGTTCAATCTTCCTGGATGAGATAAACCTGAAGGGCCGGGGACTTGGGAACCAGCGCTTTGAGGACTAGTCCGAGTTGGATTGCTTAATTCTATAAATTCTTATGTATTCATACCGTGTCTGTTTCACGTATCCATCAAGCCGATAAATTTCCAATACATTCCGATATATATCCTCATATTCGTTAGAACGACTGTAATCCTGAATATCAGACCTCTCAGGGGCGTGCTTAGATCTAGGGAGTACTCAGTGAGCAAAAAGTTGCAAGGTATGAGCCCTAATACGGAGTACATCTATGTAATTGATTAATTTTAGCTAGTTAAGTTAGCCTAATCATAGAATAAGTAAATGATCCAAAAAGTCTCTTGAATGGGAAAACACCAAGACATGCTCTCATATTTATTCCTGACTATTCCGAGACTACCTCCATTCTATGAGGTTGCGAGCTCCCTGAGGGACTAAGGTAGGCCCCGGCATGTTAAGTTCGGTAAGAGTATATATATACCTAGGTATCATTTAACATTTAATATTTAACACAACTCCGAATTAGCTATTAGACAGTATAGAAAAGAGGCCAAGTCGATGGCATCTAAACAAAAGAAAGAAAGAAATACAGGGATATCTCAATGGTTGGTTTCTTCCTCGCCCTCCTTGCACTTAGAGATGTCCTTGCGGACATAAGTCTCCCGCACCAGATCACCTTCGTGCTTGAACACCACCCACTCACCCATACCATACTCCTCTGGTGCAACACGTATACCACGACCACCGCCACCAACAATCACATTACCAGGACGGTATTTGGGATCCGCCTGCATACGCCGGATAGCAGAAACGTGAATCTCAGCATCAAGCGGAACATCCCGCACCTCACCACGAGGCAACGGCCAACTAATCGGCTTCCACGACCCATCAGGCTGCAGATCCATACGACGGAACGGCAGCCATTCCATAATGCGCCACGTGATCACCGACATAGCAGGAATACCCTGGTTGAACATCAGACAGTCATGCAGCAAGCCCTTCGTACTGGAAGTATGCAGCGCATGCCAGAAGTCGCGACTCGCAGCAGTGCGCTCTTTCTCATCAGGCATGGAGCGGAAAGTATCATCGTTTTCAGCATGAGGCTCAACGCACCGACTCGGCCGTCGGGCATTAATTTCTTCCCGGATGGGGCTGTAATCACCATCGTACTCCTCCAGACACTGGAACTGTTTCATCTTGCGCTCATCGAGCTCGAGACCGGCCTTTTGTGCTTCCTGTGTCATCCACACGAGCGGCGCGTGGCTGAGCGCCCATGACTCGCCGTCCGAGAGCGTCCATCCACCGCCAATGTCTGCGTGGCAGCCTGGGAACCAGACCTCGTGGATGTCTTGGTCGTCTTCGTCGTCGCTGGAATCGACTTCTATGACGGGAATTTGCACTGAGAGTGTGTTGGAGTGCCCGCTGTGGAAAGACTCTTTGCTTCTCACTGAGCGGAGATCATCCATTGACGCTTTGGGCACTGCGAGCCTGCGTCGGGGAGAGGGTGCGCGGTATTTGTTGGGCTTCATTGTCCCACTTTCACTACCGGCGCGGGAGGATGGTTGCGAAGGTGTGTGTTGGTGTGAGGCACGGCGGCCGGTGTGGTAGTATGTCTCTCCAGTGCTGGGCCCATATCTGGGAGTATTAAATTCAGGCTCGGCCTTATCTCCATCCTGCTGTTCCTCCTCGGGGTTGTCATTGATTTGAATGACAGGAACGTTGTCTGCGGCTTCCTCCTGAGGCTTCTCTTTCTGATCCTGGTGGAAGAGGTGTAGGTGGTTTGTGGGCAAATGGGGGCGGCGGCGGTGTTTCTTCTTCTCCTTGGGACGCGCGCCAGAAATCAGATCCTGGCGGAACTTCGCGCGACGCTCATCGATACCCACGGCATGGCGAATCACTTTAGCGGAACTGCGTGCGGTGTAGGGGAACTTCGTGCGCTGCATCCAAGCAGATTCGAAGCGCGGCACACTGTTGACGGTGTCGAAGAGACCCATGAAACGGATACGCGAGATAGGGCGACTGAAAGTTTCACGGAAGGCCTTCATGTAGGCGAAGAGCTTCTTCTTTTCTTCGCGCTCTTCTTCCGAGTCATCCGACCGCTGCTGCCATTTGGCGAACGTCTTCCATGCAAAGCGGACCAGCTCCTCATTTCCTGCTTCGAGGAGACCGATATAGTCCAGCATCTCTGCTAGGAATCGTGCGATGTATGAACCACGACTGAACCCAATGAAGAAGATCTCATCTCCAGGGGAATAGTATCGCATCAGGAACTTGTATCCACCCATGACATGCTCGTCAAAGGAAGACCCGACCGCCGAATCCTTGGCCTTTTGATAGGCAGACTTGATACGTTGGATTCGACCATGGCTAGTCAGCGACTTTGAAGTCACATATGTGCCAATGCCTGGCTGGTAGTAATGATACTGGTGACTCTTGCTGCGGTCAAGCATCTGCAACTTCTTAGCATGGGCTCAAACCTTAGCTTGCAGTCTCACTTACGCGAAAGATCTTGAGCACATTGCTATCCGACTCATCACCGGCGAATTTGTTTCCGGTGCCATCAAAGCACAGCACAAACTGCTTTGGCATGCCCGCTAGGGCTTGGTGTTCATAAGCCATGATGCTACCGAATGATAATACAGTAGGTCAGACAAAAAAAAAAAGGTCGAAACTTCAGGCACACCTGATAAGACCTGAAGGGGGCTATATACGAGAAGGGGGGTGGACAAGGCTCAAGGTTGGGATGACGCTTTAATGCAGCTGGGTACAGCTGGTATTACACGAATCAGCGCCCTACATCAGACCCAGCAGAGAAGGGGGGAGGTTGGCAGGATAAGAATGTCCAACCCACTAGCCGATCATCACAGGTTTGTGAAAAGTATACGTCAAACCGGAGCGGGCTGACGGGCGGGCCCCCAGACTTGGCACATTCCCATCACAACATGCGCCTCGTGTCTTACTTTTGGGATGTCTTTCTGTTAATTTTCGGTGACTTACGTGCAGGTAAAGGTTTCACGAAAACCTACTTCGATCTAACGGAGGTGCATTTCATCCAATGGATACGCGTCGGTAATCATTGCTGGATATGCGAGTTTGTTGCAAACTAGGCTGAACCTGACTCAAGTACTTTCTGCACGAGGGGTGTGGGCTGTACGGGCTGTACGGGCTGTACGGGTCGGACCTGGGTAGGGCGGGACCTGGATCGCGTGTGGATTTGGAATTTCCGTGAGAGCTGAACAAAAACCAAAAGAGAGACTTGCAGATTTTAATCCTCTTGCTACTCCATCCACAAGTACTCATTGGTCCCATGGGTTTCTGAAAGGAGACGATAGTAGGGTGTTCGGGATATTATTGTCGATCCTTCCCCACATAGCCTCTGAGAGCTTGTAGTGACTAATGATTCAGGAGGTGTAAGGGGGTGAGAGGTGCCCCTAGTTGTTCCTAGTTGTTCCGCCGCATCGGTTCGGTCTTGAGCGATCGATCTGTCTAACTTTGACGCTAGCTTGCTCTAGGTATCGATATGCATTGATCGTTCATGGTCCTTCACGGCTCACGGCCGCGATCCACTGGTGGCCCTATCTTTACCGCCGTCACTTTCTCTAGTCAGACTTAAGAAAGGGTTTCAAGGTACCACTATGACTAAGGAGTACAAGGTTTATGTATTATACAAGGAAAAATATTCATCACATCTGGGATGGCTGATAATATGGAAATTCACGAGTCATCCCGCGCGGAATCGTGGAATTGTTTTAAGTTGAAAAGCACAATATCCGAAGGGGAAAAAGAGTGGGACTTCTAGCCTTTTTCTTCATAACCCGAAAAAAAAAAAAGGAAGCCAATTGTATTTACGGCCGAACAAGGGATCTGTGAATTGACAGGCGATATTATGCATACAGCATAGATTATCCATCCTTGGACAGAGTATGCGGGAGCGGCCCTCCCCCAAGACAATGGCCCATGGTTCCATAACCGAACTATGAGGTTAAAATATCATCAGATCAGGGCAGCTCTCGTCATGACCCTCTGTGGGAAATACGAAAAAAAAAAAAAAAAAAAAAAGGAATTTCCCATTTTCGCGTCGAAACTCGCGTTCTAAGGAAAACGCCACGAGGACAGTGGAATTTGTACTCCGTAAACAAAAAAGTAAGGCCCTGAAAGTGGAGAGAGATGGATCAGATTCTGAATAATTCGTGATGATGACTGGCAGATTCGACTACCAATGACAGACGACACAATGTGGTTCGTGCAAGCTGACGGCCCGTTCGCCACTTAAATCCCATAGTCAGTGGGTGAACAGGTGGGTCTACGACGATCAAAACCAAAATGGAAAAGTTTTGCATGGACAGCTCTGGTTCTCTCTCACATTAAGGACCTTCCTTGCATCAATCCCATCAGAGTAGTAGTTATGGGTAGCATGGATGAGATAACCCTAATTGGAGCCAATGATAGAATAAAAGTGTGATACTCCAGCCAGCCACAAAGTACTATTGAAAATTTCTTTTTTTGGTCGAAAATGCAGAAAAGTTCATCTCCCCCCACTTGGTGTCGATTTAGTTCGATCTTGAGATCTTTTTGCAGTTAGGGGATCACCTCGTACAGGAAATTTAGGTACACCGCTGATTATAGACTGGTATTACGGCATTTTTCATAGTCATTGGTTTATTATCCGATTACTCTTCCGAAGCTGGTGATGTATAGATCTACCTAGATCTGGGTTTGGTATTCAGCTCACTTCTGGGCTATGTTATGCATGCCACACATACACACTTGGTTGTACTATAGATTGAACCATATGATTCCCAAGATATTCGGGTATTCTGTATAGTTACAAAGTACGTACTTGAACAGATAGTTATCCCCCTTTCTCGGGTATCCAAAATTTATAAATGACGATCAATTACTATATTAAGGAACTTCATCATCGAGAAACCCACTATGGAGACTCCACTTGGACATTGAGCTTGTACCATGCGGGGCTGGGATATTTTGTAACAGAGGCCAGGTTCAGGCCCGAGAAAAAGAGATCGACCTAATGCTCTCCATCAA